GAAATGTCTCAAAACAATCACAGAATTTTTTTCTGTAAAGTGCAATGACAATACTTGTAGATCTCAATCATGTTTCCCTTACCCCTCACTTTTCTTCAATGAGGACAAGTTTGGCACCAAGTCCTAGAAACGATGGAATGACATAAGATACAAATTTTTCCACATTATATTTCACAATAATTATTTGGTGCACACTATAGACTTTCATCCAGCAAGATTACATTCATTTTTCAGATGGCTTGTAGGCGTAATAACAATTAGGATGAGTTACTATATTTCCATAATCATTTAAATTATATTGGTAAAGAATAATTTTAATCCATAGTATAAACACACAATGGCATTGAAATGACATGTATCACAACTCAATCCGTGGCTGAAACTAAGCATGATTATTGCGCTACCAATCTTTGCAGTATAAATCCTTTTTATATAGCTATCTTCCATCTTTAATTATTTTCCAGTTATTTCAATGTGCTTATACTTATAATTCTGTTTCTATCAAGTTACAAAAATGTATGGAAATCAATTTGTGAAACCAATGCATAACAATTACTAGCTAAGAGATTATGTCTTTAATTTTCAACAGTAAGTATGAAAAGACAGCTTAACTTGTGTCCCCACAAAAATAGATATTAATATTTATTAATTCCATGTAATACAACAGTTTAAATGGTCTAACTATATTACTTTACATGGCACAGTACCACAAATGATTAATTTTCAAATATAATTTAAACTTTATATTTTATGTTGTAACATGTGGAAGTAATAAAACATTACATGCATTCGATATTTCACGTCGAGCAGTGTAGTGACTGTACTTTGTAGGTAAACATGGCTGTCAATTTTGCACAGCAAGGTCTCATGAACAGCCATTAAATGAATGACCAGTTTTAGAGCAGAAATTCTTGGCCAGGACACTGAGAGAAAAACCCTTCTGTATACTGCAATAGTATTTAATATCTTCCAAATTAGACCTCAATGTTAGCATTTTCAACGGATTACTTTTGTGTCATAGATATTTATAGTAGTACACATATCTTTCATATGCATATATGAAAAATAATACTTTGGAGCCCATTTGAAATGTTTCATCACTTGAGCAATGCTGATATTACATTGTTTGTACAACAAAATGTTTGGGAAATTATTTAAAAATAGAGGCTGAGGCATTTTTGAGGCCAAAGAACAGTGACTTTGTAGTGTGCAAGCAATTAAAGGTTATGTATTTGCTTTAAAAGTGCACTTTTAAAAGCATTGAAGGGCAGAAAAATGTTGTATCATTTATTTTCCTGTCTGTGTGACAATGTACCATCTTGGCCAGGTCTTTTGGAAAAATAGCATAAAAATTCCAGAACTGATCTTTAGGTTTAGTTTCTTCTCTTTCCTCCAAACTATTTTTTTCTGGCCATTTTCTCTGCCAGGATGCTATGTTATTTAAACTTTTCTCAGAGAATTATTCCCCATTCCCCATTTGAGAGGCCACATACTCCTGCAACATAACCCCAAAGAACATTTATCTCTTTAACTAGCCTTGGGGAAAGTACAGAGTTGTTCGGGCTTGACTTGGAAGATGAAGATGAACTTTGTCTTTGTTTCTCAACTTATTTTATTCTGTCTTGCCCAAAGGGAGACTAATTTCTTCCCCTAATGGGCCAGTGTATTGCTACCAGCTTTGGAATTGATGTCATGCTGCAGTTAGAATCTAAACTTGTTCCAGTGAGGAGTACCGGGGAGCAGATAAGAACATATAATTTAGCAACGTTAAATACAAAGCTGCGATGTTACCCTGAGAAGCTCAGTTAATTTCAGTCTTATTCATCTTCAATCTTTTTGAGGTTAATTCTATTTACATATAAATTATGATAATCTTTTTGGTTGATCAAAATGTGAACCGTGCAAAATATTTTGATTTGAAAAATCTGCAGAATTTCTATAGATTTACGTCTTACACAGCCAGTCAATGTCACTGAATGACTTGTTACCAATTACAGTGATAAGATTGTGACTTCAGGATTGTGAGCTAGGTATATAGTCAAAGGTCATGCTTTTGGTTTTAATATACTCTTACATTTCTTCTGAAATAGTGGGAGAAATAATGAATAAATAGCTAGAGGGGAAAACAACGTTGTTTCCAGGTAGCCTGAAATTTGTCTTTGTCAGCTACTAGACTAAACTTTCCCCTTCATAGCTGCAAGCAGGTTCACCACCACTGGCACAGGTAACAGATCTGCCACCATCCATTTGCCTAATTTCCCTTGCTGGCTGCAAATAAGAAATCTAAATTTGTAAGTTTCCTCTCAGATGAGTCACATGCTGCAAATATATTTTTTGGCTACTGGCAATTTGCAGTCTTGGCTGCCAAGTTGTATAGGACCTGTTGTTTTTAATATGCTATTTTGTCACAACAAAATAAATCTACCTCAGTACACAGTTAAATTTATTTTGGATCGTGCATGCAATGGAGTTGCCAAATTAGGCACAAAAAAGCTGTAGGCTTGCTTTTTCCTGACAGAGCTACCACAGAAAACAGAATCGCTATCTTAACCCACCTGCTCAATCTCAGGAATCCTAATTTGCACATTGATTGACATTAGCACTGTGTGTTTTTTTTTTCTCCGCATTGCATGTTAAATCCAGTATTTAATATGAATGATTTCACTGAAACAGTTGTCCTATGATTGAGGGGACTGCCTTGTTCTTTCTGAAATAGATCGTCTGCGGCATTTCAATTTTATTTGTTAACTTTTTCAGTTCCATTTATTATTTCATCCTCTGTTATTATGAATTTTGCTCCTTTACTCCCCCCATCATCTTGTTTTTATCCATGCTCCCTTAAGCAGGTTTTAGTGCTGTTGGTTCAAATTTTTTTTAAATTTTTTTTCTTGTAAAGAAACAATCTTGTTTTTTGGCTGTGCTTCTCTATGTATTTATTATTCAGTATGAAACCAATTTATTTAGCACATATGTTTTCTTTTCAATTAATGCTACATACATGTAATATTAATGGTTCCAGCATGCTTTGTTCAATTCTTTGTGAATTCTCAGATTGTTCATATGTCTCTCTTTGTGGCGTTTTTTCCATTTTGTGATTATATAACCATGTATATTTTCAGTACTTTCATGGGGGCTTTAGCTAGGTATTATTTTGTGACTTTTTTTTCCCCTACGGTGTATCAAACGTAAGAAAAAGTCAATAACTCTTGATGTAGAGGGAAAAAATCTACTGTGCCAAATAAAACCTCTGCAGGTGTGAACTGAACTATTCATCTGTATGTTAACAATCATTCTAATGCTGTACTTCTGTTTATGGAATCATCTCAAGGCATAAATAAACTTGCTGAATGGGCATTTAAATGGCAAATGCATTTCAATGCAGAAAAGTGTGAGGTAGAAGGAATAAGGAAATCACATACATCCGGGAAAATAAAATTCTAAACGGGGCAGAGGAGCAAAGAGACCTAGGGGTACACATACACAATTCACTAAAAGTAGCAACGCAGGTTAATAAGGCCATAAAAAAAGGCAAACCAGGCATTGGAGTTCATTTCTAGAGGGATAGAAATGAAAAGCAGGGAAGTTATGGTACACTTCTATAGAACCTTGGTTAGACCACACTTAGAATACTGTGTGTAGTTCTGGACCCCACATTATAGAAGGGATGTGGAGGCACTGGAGAGGGTGGAGAGGAGATTCACAAGGATGATCCCAGAACTGAGGTTGTACCTATCAGGAAAGGCTGAACATGCTTGGACTCTTTTCTCTTGAAACAAGGGGGGTAAGGGGTGACCTGACAGAGGGCTTTAACATTCTGAAAGGTTTTGATAGGGTAGACATAGGGAAGATGTTTCCACTTGTGGGGGAAACCAAAACCAGGAGCCATCAATATAGAATAGTCACAAATAGATCAAACAGGGAATTCAGAAGTACTTTCTTTACACAGAGAATAGTGGGAATGTGGAACATGCTACCACAAGAAGTTGTTGAGGCAAATAGCATAGATGTATTTAAGGGGAAGCTACATATGTACATGAGGAAGAAAGGAATAGAAGGTTACGTTTGAAGGCTTAGTTGAGGAAGGGCAGGAGGAGGCTCATGTGCAGCATAAACACCGGCATAGACCAGTTGGGCCGAATGGCCTGTTTCTGTGCTGTATATTTTAATGTATTCTAAACTATACTTTGACATTTTGGTTCCTTATTACTGAACATTTAATGATGGCGCTTCAAATGAGGTGGGCCTGTGTTACAATCAGCGTTACTTCCGGGTTTTGTTATAAGGGAAAAATAAGACGTGGCATCTAAATATCAGAAGGAACCTTGGCTAATTTTAATTCCCCAACTTTTGTCTCAGCTAAAAGTCAGCAAAGTCTGCAAGTACTGGAGTTTGAACCTACAACCTTCTTTTCCATTTGGCAGTAGTTCTGGGGTCTTCAGCCTCACAGTCTGCAGCTAAAATGCAGTAAAAAAAATATCCAACTTACAATGTCTGTGTAAACGTTTGTGGTTAAACAACGTTTGAAATCAACACCCTCTACTGGTATTGCACATGTGTGACACCCAAGTGAAGATAGGTGAGGCTTGGCTGTGACGCTCTCCACAGTCAGTCTGCTAACACTCATTGCCAAGACTTAAACATGAACAATAGCCACAGAGGGGAATGTACTTGAGCCAACCCCCATGGATCTGGACCCCAACACAAGGAGGCTGGGGATCTGGAGTGGAGGCATACGCCACTGAGGAGAAAATTAAACTCGCTCCAATTTTTTTAAAAAAATATATTTTTAGAAATTCTATATCTAACTGAAATATGCTTACAAATATCTTAAGATGCTTCACGTAAAGAATATCAACAGAGTAAAGTACCCAAACAATGTAATACCGTACAATAACTACTCATTAAAGTGCCTTTAGCACAGTTCCAATTCGGTTGAAGTCTGGAGGCAGATACCAATTTCACAATCATAATTTTACTGAATATTTTCCATGCCTTTACAGATGAAAATCACAGAGGATGATCTATGGATTAGGACATATGGGCGGCTTTATCAAAAGCTTTGTTCTTCAACTGGAGACATTCCCATTGGTATTTACCGGACAGAAACACAGAAACTCACAACATCAGAGGTATGCGTTCAGCATAATGCTAGTACTAAATTATGAAATATGTTTTGCTATTATTCTCTTTGCTTTTGACATATTTTGTGATAGAAGCTCGTTAAATATCACATGGGACACTGAAAAAAAAATCTAGGAGTTAAAAGAAGCTATGAAACTAATAGGGAAATTTCCGAGTATTTCTGTATCAAACAATAGCATTGCTTCTAAATGGTACAAATCATTATGTTCATTATTGAATTTGAAATTACATACAAATTCAGGTGGGATTTTTCTCTTCACAGAAGACAAAATATAATGAAGATTAATATTTTACTTCAGCTCACCTCAAAAACAACATCCTGGGAACCTCAGGATCAGTTTCCAATCTGAAGCTGCCTTGCGTTTGCTGGCACTTATTGTATCGGCCCATACATGAAGGATGGAGGACAATCAGCACTAGTGGAGCCGAAGTATTTAAGAGAGGGAGGGGAGGGAGAAAATTGCAGTGGAGAGGGAGAAAAGAAAGTGAACAGATGAAATGCTGCTCCAAATAAAATAAATAGCTTGGAGAGGATTCCAGACTAAAGTCGTCTCATATAATGATTTCTCCTCGTCCTGTATTATTTTGATTGTGGGGGCTGGGTAAATGATTTTTAGGCTTAACAATATGTAAGTGGTGAAGATTGATCCAAGCAATTATTTGTTGCAATCCTCATCTACACTTCTGAAATGCAAAACCCACTTATCTTACTTCAAACAGCTCCATCACATCCACTGACCAAACATTCTTTCCTAATAGTATTATTTATTGTTAGTGACTGTGTCTAGTGAAATGATCACTGACATTATGACTGGAGGGCATACCCCTAAGTTTAAAAGAAATATAGGCTGCTTTCAAAGCATATTATTGTTCTCTATGGTGCATTCAAGTGTGGAAATAATCTATTTGTTCCACAAGACAAAACTTGCAGTTTTTTTCATAGCTCTCAGGAACCATTGTTATTTGTTTGTGAGACTTTCAGTGATTCAAAATGCTTCCAACTGCACCCTGTTCTGCCAATCTTTGATTTCAAGGTCCTCACATTCCCATGCAAATCACTTCATACGCTGGCACCTCCCTACCTATCCGACCTGCTTGCGCACAGCAATGTCCCACAAACAGCCCTGACTGGTGACCTATTTTATTTAGGAAGAGGGATTTTTGACCAAGATACCAGAATAAACTCCCTTCTCTTAATGACAAAATTAAATATACAATAATTAATGCCTGGCACTGTGTCAGCTGTGAAAGTTTAAATGGTAAAGGGCCAGCAATCTAATATCTATGCTTCAGTACATTTAGGTTCCTGGTAATGTTCTTAAATAGCCCATTGGGTGAAAGAGTCATTGTGCTAGCTGTATTAATCCAGAGGTTTGGTAATACATTACTAATATCATAGGTTTACATATATGACATTTAAAAGATTTTAATAGTAGGGCATCAACAAATAATTGTGAGGAATATAACAAGATCTTGAGAAGATGCGCAGATAGTGGCAGCAAGATAGTGCAAAAGACATCGTACCCACTAATTAGCTATATTGACCAGTTTGTTTCATGCAGAATTTTACACATACAAAATGGAACAAAATTAAATATTGCTTGGATTGGTTTAAATGCAACAATACTTGCCAATTATCCAAGCGGAGTTGGCCTTCAGTGTATAATATACATATATGTTCTGGTATAACCTTTGTCTAATGTCAAAGATTTATCCATGTTTTCTTCCAATCAAAACATTGGTGAAGCTTTGCTATAGATTTTTTAGATTATGCAATTGAATACTTGTTCGTGATNAAAAAAAAACTGAGTGGTGTATGAAAAGGATCATTATTGGTGAATATTTGAAGTTTTCTTTTATCCATCCATCTAATACGTCAGATCATACAATAGATATTCCAGTAATGGGATGCCTTCTGAAGAATGAACACTGTTTAACAAAATAAAACTTAAGCACAAATATTTACTTCATTACCCAAACAATGGATGGGTGTCTGGGCTGCTGTAGACAATTGGAAGAAATTCTCAAGATGAAGAAAGGACAGTGATTATTTCCGGAACAGCGGTTATATAAAAAAGCTGCTGCCCCCAAGACAATGATGTCTGTAACACTGTAACAGTTCAGAAACTGCAGCTAATACCATAGTTAGGTGAATGGCCACAAAAATCCTATTACTGTTAGATCCATAAGTAGACTAATTGACTTCATGTGATCAAGCCTACCTCTCAGTTGGAAAGCCTGGAATAAGAAATTTCAGTCTCCATCTCTCCATCCTAATGAAAAGCAAAATCCAGAAAGAATTGTTTCTGGCCAGTTTTGGAGCCCTGGTGATAGAACCAAAGAAATTTGCAGTACAGAAGAAGGCCATTCAGTCCATCATGTCTGTCCTGGCTGTTTTAAGAGCAATCTTTTCAATCCCATTTACCTGCTCGTTCCCCACACCCCTGTAGTTTACTTTTTCAGATATTTAGATATTCCCTTTTGGAAGCTAATATGAATTCTGCCTCAATGCTAATGATGCAAGAGCATTCTGGTTTCCAAAACAGGCCAAATTGTAAGAGACTAACAATAAATCACAGAATCCACTTCATGAAGAGTTCAGTGTATATATTGCTGTTTGCAAACCAGATTATGCTGCCAAGTGTTCCTGTTTGCAGCTGACAAGGTAAACATGCGAGCATTAAGCTCCCTCGAGCAATTATGCAAAGACTGATGTAGACTCAATGTCCCTTCGTTGGCCCCAGTGGTAAGGGCTGATACCTCCTGCCTCTGTTATCATCATTAATAATAATAGACATTAATGATAATAATACAGTACTTGCATTTGATAGAGCGCGTTCTCATGCCATCGAGAGGCACAAAGTGCTTCACAGGTTTTTACTGTGGAGTATTTTGACTGTGTCTTCATAGGCAAATGTGGCAGCCAATTTGTGCAAAACAGTGTCCCATAATCATGAACCATAATGTGAATGATCAATTGGTGGATTCTCAGCAGGTCAGGCAGCATCTATCGAGAGAGGAAAGTGGGTTAATGTTTCAGTTCGATGAACTTTCATCAAAGAGTTCTGACGAAAGGACATCGACCTGAAACGTTAACCCACTTTCCTCTCTCCACAGATGCTGTCTCACCTGCTGAGTGTTCCCAGTGACTTTGGTTTTATTTCAGATTGCCAACATTTGCAGCATTTTGCCTTTTTGTTAACTGGGGGATTGTTGGCCATGATACCGTTCAAGTCGTGCCACGGGATCTTTAACAAATAATAAATAAATAATTAATCTTTGCATTTGATAGCACACAAATAGCTACCAAATTCACCTGCATCCTAAGATCAGGTTTGGCAGCCCCTGTATATTCCCCAGTCTGCCAATCCTCGATGGCAATTGCAACAGAAATTTCAATCTTCAAGCACAAAATACCAAGTATGCACAATAATACCAACAGATGCATTGGAGTCCTTTATACTCCTACCAATAACATGTAAGTAAAACGTACAATGACTAATGATTTACACAGATGCACCCTGGCCACCACAAATGCAACAACAATTTTAGAGGCTATTATTGATCTATTTAAAAACAGCATTTCAAGCATACATCAAACTGCAACTGTTCAATTCTATGGAACAGTTTCAGAAAGAAATTCAATCCATACATGTGCAAAAGTACAAACGCTTCAATAAATTGGTATAATGCCAATTGGGTTATGGCACAAATTATTTCTGCATGCATGTAAATTCATAACGAGTATAAATGGTTACTAATACATACTTATCTTCCAATTTTAGTGCAGCTAAACTAAATTGCCTTTAACTGGCGATTTTTCATTAGCAAATCCTCAAGCATATTAAATAAGATCAACATCCTGAAGAAAGAGTGACTGATAGGAATCGATGATTTTATCTTAACTTTTAGTATTTCTAATGCTTTTTTATCCTCCCCCCGGCATGTCTTTCTTGAATATCAGCTTTAATCTTCTTGCAGAATAGAAATATTGCTTCTCTTTTCACACTATAATATTGTAAAGTTAAGAGGGTAGAGTTAAAGCGCAATGTGGAGCTGAAAGATTTAATTGTGCAGAAAATCCATTTGAAAGAGTGTCTGCATTTTCTTGTGATCTCTTGCAGCTAATCACATGCATAGTAGTTTGTAAGGTCATCAATGCAAGGTTTACTATGTCAATTTCAGAAACTCATTATCATTACCTTAATTATACCTTGAATTGTATACCATTGCACTTCACATTTCACATAAGATTTCCAAGTTGTGGGCATTGAATATTAATACTCTGAGATCCAACTTTCTATTAGTTTAAAATTGTACTTTGTCCATAGGGCAGATATAATGAACACATTATTCATATAATGAATTGCATCCTGCAATTTTGGATCAACATTTTTTGTAAATCTGCTTTTATTGTTCTGTCCAATTAATTCTTCAACTTGACAAGAGACGACTGGGCAGAAAATTCACGTGGGTCTAGATTTACTCTATTAATACAACATTAGAATTTAGCAAATTGTGGAATTTACATTTAACTTTGAAGCCTTTTTCTGTAATTCTTAAAATAACTTACAGAAAAATGGCTTCAAAATTAAAGATTTTATTTAAGAATTTGACAATTTGTAGATTCTCAAAAATTCTACGATAATAAAGTAAATCTAGACCCTGGTAACATTTTAAGCCCATAGGTTTGCTCAAAATAATACAAATACATGATCTTGAAAAGCAAACTTGAATAGTTTGCAAGTCTTCAGCAAAAGCATGATCAGAATATTTTGAATCAGAATTGTAATAATATACCTTTCCACTGCAGAATTTTTTTATAAGAATTCCTTGTGTGTTGTGAATTCTTCATAAAATTCAAGTACCGAGATTTATTTGCTGTGATTTAAATATTATCTGAATTTCTACTCTCTTGAGCAATTCATAGTGAAGTTTGACTGATGTTTAAAAAGCTAAGAGCAGATAAATACAGATAAATTGGGTT